CTGTGTGGATGATTTGAATGTCTATCAGGAGTGACTGTTAGAGTTTTGACAGTTAAACAGTCAGTTAGTTAGTCAGCAGAGAGTGCTGTGTAAAAGCAGTTGATATGAGTTGGTCCTGAGATTTCTGTGAGAGAAGCAGAAGTTAGTTAAGTTCTGTCTCTGAGTTGAAGGAGACTCAGCCCTGTGTGTGAAAAGAGTGACATTTAAGTCTGTGTTATAGGAGAAAATTACAAGCTGAGAGTCTAGGAAAAAGTACAGTGAAAAGTGTTACAAAGTTGCCTATGAAATATCCCTGTCAGTGGAGAGAGGCTTGTGAGAGACACCAAGCCATGGTTCAAATCATTCCCAGTTCTGTTTACATTGTTTGCCCTCGTGTTGATGCTTTCTTTAAATAAATCCTATTTCCTTCAAGTATACCAGCTCAGCAAATAATCCTTCCTCAGACCACATAGACCTTCATGAATGCCTAGACCCATGGTACACCTACCCAGTGATAGAAATATATATTATAGTAAGAGATTGGAAAGCCTTAAAATTCCTGGTGGCAGCCGGATACCCAAAGAAAAATAAACTAAAAGGGACACTTTAAAGTAAAACCCGACCTCCCTAGTAAAGGGGTCGTCACAGGCACCTTTAAGACCAAGTTTTATTCAGGTACAAGCTCTCCCTCTTCTGCGAGGACAGATCTGCACGTCCCCCCCCCCTCAATAGCTAACAATCCAAAACAGTCTAGTGGAGCCTGAGCGGTGGGTGTTGCCTTCTGACACACTTCTGGTGATGTCAGGGGGTGTGGCATATGCAAATAAGTAATGGTGATGAGTTACGCTCATGAGTTTCTGCACCTCTTTTTCTACAAAATGACCCCTGGTCCTGGTTGATTTTTTTCAGAGTTTGCGCCCAGGCTTATCATATAACCCAACAAATCTGGAAGGACAGCAGCAGAGAAATATTCAAAGAGTTTATTCTGCAGTTTAGTTCTCCCAAGCAATTACATCATGACCGAGGATCAGAATGTGAAAACCCATCTTTTCAAAAGACTGCAGCCGCATTGCCATATTAGCCCTTCCCAGAAAACTCCATATCAACCCGAAAGGGATGTCCAAGTTGAGAGAACAAATCAGACGCTGATGGCAGCAGAATGAACTTTGCCAGACAAAGAGAAAGCCTACTGAAAGTCCTCCTTTAACAATGAAATCCATGCACACAACTGTATGCAGCACGAAGCCACAGGGTTCCCCCCCCTCTTTTCTTGTTTTTGGAAGCTGCTTACTAGGGGTGTGCATTCAGGTCAACAAGAGCCAAAAACCTATCCAAAAATACTTTATCGGTATTTTTCGGCATCCCAAAGGTATTCGGGTTTTTTCAGGGAAAATTCCCGAAAAAAACCTGGATATATTTGGGGATTGCCGGGCTGAAAACAGCAGAGAGGCTGGAGCAGATTGCGCCCGCCTCTTAGCTGTTTGTTGGGCTTCTACTGCAGTCCCTTTAAAGTTTAAAGAGATGGCAGAAGACAGCCTGAAAATCACCTGTGCCGTTGTGGAGCAGACTGTTCCTGCCTGCCTACCCATAGGCCGAGTTCAGACTGGCAGTTTGGCCCGGCAGCCAAATGTTTCAGGAGCGTTTCAGTAGCAAAGCCAGTTTGGGGTAGTGAGAGCCAGTTTGGTGTAGTGGGTTAAGTGTGCAAACTCTAATCTGGGAGAACCGGGTTTGATTCCCCACTCCTCCACTTGCACCTGCTGATGTGACCTTGGGTCAGTCACAAGTTCTCTCAGAGCTGTCCTTGAAAAAGAGCAGTTTGTGTCAGAGTTCTCTCAGCCCTACCCACCTCACAGGGTGTCTGTGGTGGGGAGGGGAAGGGAAAGGAGTCTGTAAGCCGCTCTGAGACTCCAAGTGAAGGGCAGGGTATAAATCCAATCTCCTCTTCTTCTTCTAGCGGATTAAAGGGGCGGGTTCACACAGGCACATCTTTCTGGCATCCCCCAGCCTTACTCAAGCCGTCTTGTGCCGCTTCCCTCCCGAGTTAAAAAAGTTCCAGGTGAAAGTGGTAGCAAACCGTGTGTAGAGCGGGTTGATTCCAGTTCCGAGTATGAACGCAAGCGCTGCTAAGGCGGGAGCAACCCACAGTCGTTGATAATAGGCACTGGCTGTTTCTGCGGCAGGCACCCATGCGCATAGGTGCATGCAGCGAAGCGCAGAAACAGCTGAAACAGCCTGCCAGGGGCGGGCCAACAGCGTGAATGCTCCCTTGCGCTTCCGCCACGGTATCCTCCTGCTTCATTCGCTGCGGTGTGAACGGGAATATCGTGACCAAGCCATTCCGGGTCTCTTCCGGGTCTTCTTTGCCACGACTCCCTAGCGCTTCAAATTGCCAGTCTGAACTCGGCCATAGACATTGCATTTTCAACAGGCCCAACATCTTCATGAGGAGATCATGATTCATATGTAAAAAGATGGAAAGAAGAGATGAAAGAAGCATACACACTATACAGAAGAAGAAGAGATTGGATCTATACCCCGTCCTTCACTACCCAAAGGTGTCTCGGAGCGGTTTACGAACTCCTTTCCCTTCCCCTCCCCACAGCAGACAACCTGTGAGGTAGGTGGGGCTGAGAGAGCTCTTGACAGAAACGGCTCTTTTTCAAGGACAGCTCTTATCAGAACTACGGCTTGCCCAAGGTCATCCAGCCAGGTGCGAGTGGAGGAGTGGGGAATCAAACCCGGTTCTCCCAGATTAGAGTCCCATGCACTTAACCACTACACCAAACTGGCTCTACACCTACATACCTTCTCAATCATCTGCCTTAAGGGGAACGCAAAGTCATGACAGTAGAGTGCACGGTGCTTTCATTCTGACACCATTCCTTCGAAAAGACTGGCAAATGAAAGTATGGAAAACACACCATTTAATTCCCACACTGGCACTTTAATTTCCTCTCTTCTTTGTTCTGTCATAATGAGGGATGCCATACATTACTGGAAATCTAGAAGTCCACCTGTTACCTCAGGTTAAATTAGTATTACATTAGCTAGAAACAGTAAGACAGGTGTGATACATATGTAGCTAGGAACATGAATGCTCAGAATTATATCATTTGAGGTATCAATATTTTACAACAAGGCCACAAACCTTTGCACTGAATTATTAACAATACACTCAGTGAACAAACATACAAGCAGGCACTGGACTCCTTCAGAAGATAGGATGAGACAAATGAATTCAACTAACGCACGAAAGATAGAATGTGCCAATAGCATTCCTGTTACAACGTGGTCATCTCTGCTACCTAATGGGTGCGGTCAGACGAGCCGTTTAGTCCGCTTTTGGCCCGCCTCAGAAACGGATTTTATCTGTGCGATCACACGGTCAACATCTGCCTCCCGTTCCCAGCCGTCGTTTTCCGGCTCAAAACTGCTTTAACCCGGAGTATTTTGATACCAGGTCCCCAAGTGGTGTTTTCCTACTTCTCTGGTTCCAGCCGCACTTTTCTGACGTCTGATCGCTCCTGCGGTGTCGAGCCACTTCCGGTTTAAACCCCCTCCCCGCTCGAAAGCTGCCCGAGGCTTCTGCTTTTCGCCCGCCATTTTTTAAAAAGCGTTGGCGGTGTGCACATAGCCAGAGGTCTGCCACTGCGTTATTAAAAACTATGTTTAAACGGTGCCGCGTTTTAGCATTTAGACGAGTTTGGGATCTCATGGAGGCCGTTTTCGGGGTAAACATTTAAAGGGAAGTGTTCCTTTAAAGTTTAACGGGAAGTGTTACAGCAGTCGGGTTGAAGTGGAAATTGCTCTGCGCATGCCCAAACTGAGAGAGAGAGAGAAACAACACCAACGCACGCTCCCTCGTGTGGACAGCGGGGAGCGATGTGGCTGCGCAGCGATCCGGAGCAAGGAGGTGAGTGCGATCGCGATTCTCCAGGTTAAAAAAGACCGTATCAGGGCCGTAGCAATTTAAACCGCTCGCAGCACGCCGTCTGACCGCACCCAATAACTGGTAATTTAACACAAAGAACTGCACTCCACCTTCCCCAACATACATTTCCACCAAAATGCCCAAACCACTCACAGAGTTTTAATTTGCATAAATATAGCATAGTATATAGTATATAAAACTTCAAAACACAGTGTAAACTTTAAGGAGAAGCATTTCATGATAAGCACTATAATTTTGCAAGCCCGAAAGCAAGATACTCGTCGTCCTGTGGTTGATTTAGAACACTGAAGGGGAGATTTTAAACTATTCTTGTCACAACTGATTTTTTAAAATTCTGTTTGAATGTGGTATTTCATTCCAGGGATTTTGCTCTTTTAAAAGTGTCACTAACCAGAGACACCAAATTCAGTCCATTATCTCCCCAAAATCCAGCTTCAGTTTGCATATCAAGTGGGACCGGGGGGGGGGGGGGGGGGAGGGAATGAGTAACACTGTCCACTGAACTGATTCATTTCAGCAGCGAAGCTCTGCCACTTTGGGGGAAGACAAAGAACCTAAAACAGACACACACGGGTCATTTCCTGCAGGAGCGCACAGGAGCAGAGCTCCGGCAGTAAAGAGCCCAGGGGGCGGGCACATGCAACAAGCCCCGCCCCCTGCCCCCAGCAGCCCTCAGTCAGAGCAAGAAGCAGCCAGGTAAGCTGCAGAGCCCGGCCCCCATAGACAGCAATCCAAAACAGTCCAGTGGCACCTTTAAGACCAAATTTTATTCAGGTACAAGCTCTCCCTCCTCTGCGAGGACAGATCTGCACATCCCCCCCCACCGAATAGCTCGCAATCCAAAACAGTCCAGTGGAGCCTGAGCGGTGGGTGTTGCCTTCTGACTCACTTCCGGTGATGTCAGGGGGTGTGGCATATGCAAATAAGTTATGCTAATGAGCTCCTGCACCTCTTTTTCTACGAAATGACCCCTGGATACACACATACAAAACTATCTGGTTCTTGTAAAGAGAAAATTGTCTATCTGTTTTTTTGGAGTGTAAACTTATAACCCTTCCCTCGTTATTTCCAAGAACTCGGCTGTTCTGAAAGACAGTTTACCAAATGTATTGATAAACACATGAGCCATTAGTCACTTCAAATGGCTGGGTCATTTACATTACAGAATGAGATGCATACGAATGGCACTCAGGTGAGCCCTTATTAGCTTAGTTGTATTTTTAATTTGCAATAATCATGACGCTCCAAATATCACAAATAGGAAAATCCAAAAGATGAAGGGAATAAACCATACAAATGCATTTATCTTGGCATAAGTACATACGGACCATAATGATTTGAAGCAATTTTAGTAACTATGGATTTGCAGAAAACCCAACTATTCTCCAGGATTTATCAGATTTAGTCTACATGTTCATTTTTTAGAGAGAAATCTCACCACAAAGTAGCAATTGCTTTCAGGACGCCTTTATTCTTACAAATATAGCCTTGTGTGGTGTATGAGAAGCACGGCTGTGGATTAGTCTCTATTGTACAAATTACAATCCCTTTCACATGACTGTATTTTAATTCTTCCACAGTGGTGGCATGTCAAAGAACAAATAAGCAAGAACAGGCAGTTCTCACTTGATGGTGACAATTCTCCTAAAACATGTAAATTCAACCTCGAAGGCACAAAAACTTCCACCTTCAAAACGTTTACTCTCAGGGAAGCCTACTGACTTCGGCCCAGTTTAGTTCTGAGTAACGGGGCTGAGTTTGTGGCTTCAATTCTATAAGCATGACACAGACAAAAGACACAGTTGGGCATCGAGGGAAATTACTAAAAGCAGGATTATCTTCAGAACAATCAAGCTATGAACTTTTCATTTATCATTGTAAGTGCCTCTTCCACAATCTGCCGGCCCCCCCGCCCCCCAATATGTTAAGACATGCAATGTTACACAATATGGCGGCGTAACTGGTAAACAACTGGTTTTGGCCATCTCTGCTGTACATTGTGAGGTTTTGGTTTGAAAAAAGGATCCTTCGTGCACATTTTCCCGTCTGCCCTGCCAAGATGGCGAAGTACTGCTGAGTCTCCAGAGGCAAACAACAGCAAAAGCCAAACACACTGGACAAGTGTCATTCAGCTGCAGGAACTGGCAAGTTATTGGCAGTAGAACATTCATCCTGTCCTTCCCATCCGGAGCTGCACCAGAGTTATCCAACTTGCCACTAGGAACAAAAAGGTCAGAGGTAAAGCATTGATATTAACGTTATACGAATCAAGACTGCCCCTCACAATCTTCATTTGAGACACTGATATGTAACGCCATCCCGATTTATTCAAGAGCTCCTGAAAGAGCTACTTCCGCATTGTGCAAGCTCTCCCCATACACACGCTATATGAAACACAAGACCATTCATTTTGTACAGACGCATATACAGCCACTGCCACAGGAAGTGGTGGTGGCTACAAGCATGGATGGCTTCACAAGGGAATTAGATAAGCATATGGAGCAGAGGTCCATCAGTGGCTATTAGCCACAAGGGATAGATAGGGGCTCTGGGGCAAGGGATGCTCTGTCCACACCCAATGACAGGCTAGTTATATAACACTATGTCTCCATTGGTCTCTTCCAGGATCCAAGGCAGCTATTGTTTGTGGACACAAGCTCAACCAGATCCTGGGGGCTACTTTAGGGATGACTCATCCTTAGTACACAACAAGCAGGTCGCGAAAGAATTCCTTTTCTCCCTTTCTCACAATACGAGAAATCATGGGCACGCCATGAAATTGCTGAGCGGTCGGGTTAGAACGGATAAAAGGAAGTCCTTCTTCACCCAAAGAGTGATTAACACTTGGAATTCACAGCCACAGGAGGTGGTGGCGGCTACAAGCATGGACGGCTTCAAAAGGGAATTAGATAGGCATATGGAGCAGAGGTCCATCAGTGGCTATTAGCCACAAGGTATAGATAGGGACTCTGGGGCAAGTGATGCTCTGTCATCTTGGTGCTGGGGGGGGGGTCAACAGTGGGAGGGCTTCTAGTGTCCTGGCCCCACTGGTGGACCTCCTGATGGCACTGGTATTTCTGGCCACTGTGTGACACAGAGTGTTGGACTGGATGGGCCTTTGGCCTGATCCAACATTGGCGTCTCTTATGTTCTTATGTACAGCGACATTCAAAAACCTGTCTGTGGGGGACCCCTTCAGTTCTCCAGGACACTTAATCGCTAACCAGACAGTAAGCCTTCTCCTGCTAAGGAACTTCAGCAGAAGACTCTACAGGGAAACTTCTGAACCAGAACTCATTAGTCTTTACAGAAGCCAAACTACGGCCCCGGTCACACGGAGAATTTGCCGCGCGAAAGGCACGCATGTCGGGCGGATTTTCGGGGCGCGACCACACTGCAACATCTGGGAAGTGTAGCGCGCCCGTGGCCAACCTGTGGCGTCCCGCCAAAGATGCGGAGTTAAAAAGTACCAAGGAAAGTGCACTAGTATCTGGAAAACGCACGGCACAGGCGGGCGTCTGATCGCGGGAGCACTAGTATCCCGTGGCATCCGGCGCCCGTCCACGTGCTGTCGCAAACTGGATGTTTTTCGTAAGCACATGCACACAAACATGAAACTGAAAGCAGTGCTGCTCCGCAAAACTGTGCATGTGCACAAACACAAAACGCTTGAGTGATCGTGCCGCACCGCTTCTTTGACACGTTGCAGCATCGCCGTGTGATCGCCAACTAACAGCCGAAGCACAGAGATTCGGGGGACCGTGTGACTGGGCTACCGGGCTTTATTTTGCTCCGGGCCGAACAGATATGCCTCCCCGCCACGTTATCTGGCCCGTGTGACCGGGGGGCCTACATAAGACAAGGAAGGAGTTTGTGCTATCACCAATTGTAGTTGCTGTGAGTAATCGTTATGATTTTCGGTTATGCATGGTAACAAACCAAGCCTTTTAACCTAATTTTCAGAATGTTGGTTTTTCCTCACACTGTGAACAAAGAAAAATATTACTGAGTGAGGATTTAGTTCATTGTGTAGGCTAAAATAAATGTTAACCTCTGGAGTGTTAGGGAGTTCTGGAGCGCTTAAAAGGTTATGCTTCACTTTGTGTTATTTTGTTCAGTCTTAATACAAGGTATTACCTTTCGTTCTTTAATTTTACAATCAATGCTAGTCTTTAAGGTACCACAGGGCTCTTCTTTTGTTATTGGTACATATTCCATGGTATTACAAAAACCACGTCCGTTTTTCAGGTTACACAAAACGAGTAATAACTGCCTTCAGAATCACAGGTCACACAAAGACTGATTTCACACAAGAGCCGCGCTGCGGTCGCGCCTCCCTTTGCCCCGCTTCTGTCGGTCAATTTCCCACTCGAAGCCGCGCGGCCGCATTCTGACCCGCGGCTTCGCCCGATTTCCCCCACGGTTTGGTGATCCTGGGGTTTTTTTTATCACGAACCTGCGGGGAAAATCGGGCGACGCCGCGGGTCAAAATGCGCCTGCGTGGCTTCGAGTGGGAAATGGACCGATAGAAGCGGGGTAAAGGGAGGCGTGACCGCGGCACGGCTCTTGTGTGGAATCAGTCAAAGCGTACTAACGCTTGGTTTACCTGACAACTTATAGCCTGTGGTCGAGAGGAATAAGATAGACTCAGATGCCCACTTAAAAATGGGATCCGATACTCTCGAACTGCCACAGCAAGAAGTTTCCATAACTGGATCTTCCTCCAGCAATCCCTGGTACCTCTGAAAAAAAATCAAATGCTGAGGGTTGGGGATGGGTATGGAGAAAACGGCACATAGAGAAGGGGCTAGTGCGGAAAGGGAATCGGATGAAATCTCGCCACCACCCCTGCCATTGTGCTAGCAGACATCATATTCTGCTGCACTTTCTCCACTACCAATTCCCCCTGCTCACTGAAGGCTCTGTCCTGCACGGCACATTGTCCACAGTCATCCTCCGACCGCCGGTATCGGGCTTTTCAGGGTCACCACAGGCTGCTGGGAAGACCTGCCTTTGCAAACTACTTGTGCTGAAAAGTTCATAGGATCCAATCACATTCTTTCCTTCTAAAACTGACTGTGTGAATTCATTCCACTCCTCTGGATCGCAAGCGGAATGTTCAGAGTTTGAATGCATTAACTACAGGGGTCATTTCCTGCAGGAGCGCACGGGAGTGGAGCTCCGGCAGTAAAGAGCCCAGGGGGCGGGCACATGCAACAAGCCCCGCCCCCTGCTCCCAGCCGCCCTCAGTCAGAGCAAGAAGCAGCCAGGTAAGTTGCAGAGCCCCCCCCGCCCCCCCAGTCCAAAACAGTCCAGTGGCACCTTTAAGACCAAGTTTTATTCAGGTACAAGGTCTCCCTCCTCTGCGAGGACTGATCTGCACGTCCCCCCCTTCCCCAATAGCTAGCAATCCCAAACAGTCCAGTGGAGCCTGAGCGGTCGGTGTTGCCTTCTGACACACTCCCGGTGATGTCAGGGGGTGTGGCATGTGCAAATGAGTTATGCTAATGAGTTATGCTAATGAGCTCCTGAACCTCTTTTTCTACGAAATGACCCCTGGCATTAACTATCAATGAAATCTGACAAAAGACTACAATATACATGGCTTTACACAATCATTTCTAAAACAAAAAGCCAAATGGCAGACAATAAGTCAGCAGAGGGGATAAGAGATGCTAACATGGCAAGAGAAAGAAACACATGTTTTTTAATCTTACTCTAAGCCCGCCTCCTTCTGGTCCAGTCGCTGCTGAATCAAGGCGTTTTTCCATTTCCTCCTGCCTCCTCTTCTTTTGTTCAACAGAAGATAGATTCTTAATACCTCGAGAGGAGGCCTTTGAGGGGGGAGAAAGGCACAATGAGCAAATGACAATGCAGTTGCCCCTTTTCAAAAAAGTGCAGCTATAAACATTATGAACATTAAATTCACGTAATTGCATACAAATGCATACAACTGCTGTAATGTTTATATGTGAATACACTGGACTGTAACAATATGCTTCTCATCATCATGAAGGGGTAAAGCCTGGAATACAATGGGGAAGAAGCCTGTTTGGTGTCGTGGTTAAGTGCGCGGACCTGGTGGCAGATCTACCTGAAGTTTTGTTTAGACTTTCTGTAACGATTCCTTGTTTTATTTGTGTGTGTGTGTGTTTAAAAGTTTGGTTGCATGGCTGTGTGATAGTCTAGAGTGGTTGAAACAGGCAAGTGGTGTGATTGGTGATTGGCAGAAAGGGGGAGGGGTTTTGGAAGTAAAAATTAGTGGATGAATGGGTATGTCAGTCAAGAGTGACAGTTGAAGAAGGACAGTTGATGAAGACAGTGGTGGTTAGGAGAGAGTTCTGAAGTCTGGGAGAGAAGCAGTTTTTGTGTGTGCTTAGGAGTTAGTTCTGTGTATGAAGAAAAGTTGAATGTATATGAAACAAGAAAGTACAGTTAAAGAGAAAAATAAAAAGTCTGAGTGACAGGCTAAAGTGAAACAGTAAACGTAATTGGCCTTAAGGAAAAAAGTGTTACAAAGTTACATGCAAGATCCCTGACAGTGAGAGAGAGAAAAGTGTGTGAAATATCAAAGCAATTGTTTAGTATTTACCCATTCCTAGTTACAGTGTACTACCATATTATTTATGAATAATATCAATAAATCTACTTTTATTTAAGATACCAGTTCTGAAAGAAATACTTCCCAGGACCACATTAGTACCTCGAAAGCCTTAAAAACCGACCTACATACCCAGTGATAGAAAAACACAGAAAGGTTTGGAAAGCCTTAAAATTTCCTGGTGGCAGCTGGATATACACAGTAAAACAAAAGAACACTTTAAAGGGGAACCAGACCTCCCCAGATAAGGGGTCGTCATACTTTCATTTTGCCCTTTTGGGAAACAGGAAAGAGAACAGTTTTCCCTCTTTGGTATAGTTTGGTGTAGTGGTTAAGTGCACAGACTCTAATCTGGGAGAACTGGGTTTGATTCCCCACTCCTCCACTTGCACCTGGCTGGATGACCTTGGGCAAGCCATAGTTCTCTCAGAGCTGACTTGAAAAAGAGCAGTTTTCTGTCAAGAGCTCTCTCAGCCCCACCCACCTCACAGGGGTGTCTGTTGAGGGGAGGGGAAGGGAAAGGAGTTTGTAAGCCGCTCTGAGACTCCTTTGGGTAGTGAAGGGCGGGGTATAAATCCAATCTCTTCTTCTTCTCTTCCCCACTCCTCCACATGTAGCTGCTGGTGTGACCTTGGGTCAGCCACAAGTTCTCTCAGACCTGTTCTCTCAAGAGCAGTTTCTGTCAGAGCTCTCTCAGCCCCACCTACCTCACAGGGTGTCTGTTGTGGGGAGGGGAAGGGAAAGGAGTTTGTAAGCTCCTCTGAGACTCCTTTGGGTAGTGAAGGGTGGGGTATAAATCCCATCTCTTCTTCTTCTTTTACCTCACAGGGTGCCTGTTGTGGGGAGGGGAAGGGAAAGGAGTTTGTGAGCCACTCTGAGACTCCTCTGGGTAGTGAAGGGCAGGGTCTTCTTCTTCTTCTTCTTCTTCTTCTTCTTCTTCTTCTTCTTCTTCTTCTTCTTCTTCTTCTTCTTCTTCTTCTTCTTCTTCTTCTTCTTCTTCTTCTTCTTACAGTCCCTTATTATTTAAAAGTCCAATATGCTATTCCTCTCACAGCTCATCAATATAGCCCCAAGACATCAAGCACGAGGTGATTAGACTATGATACCATGGATCAAGATACCCAGTCTATAGTGGCAGCATTTTCACCTTCATCTCTTATCATGATAGAATCGCCCTCACGATACGGGTAATTTAGGAAATAACAAAAAAGGATTAAGACGCAGAATATAAAAATATTTCTAATTAAATTAATTTGAAATAATTATACTCCACATTCTAACATGTTTGCTACCATTATTGTCAAATATTTCAAGGTGGCGTAAAAATACGATAACGGATGGGTTTTATCCTAGCAGGGCAAACAAAATTACCAAACAGGAAGAAGAAGAAGAAGAAGAAGAGGAGGAGGAGGAGGAGGAGGAGGAGGAGGAGGAGGAGGAGGTTGGATTTATACCCCACCCTCCAACCCTTCACTACCCAAGGGAGTCTCAGAGCGGCTGACAAACTCCTTTCCTTTCCCCTCCCCACAACAGACACCCTGTGAGGTAGGTGGGGCTGAGAGAGCTCTGACAGAAACTGCTCTTTTTCAAGGACAGTTCTTATCAGAACTACGGCTTGCCCAAGGTCATCCAGCTAGGTGCAAGTGGAGGAGTGGGGAATCAAACCCGGTTCTCCCAGATGAGAGTCTGCGCACTTAATCACGACACCAAACTACACCAAAGAGGGAAAACTGTTCTCTTTCCTTTTTTCCCAAAAGGGCAAAGCGAAAGTCTAAACAAAACTTCAGGTAGACCTGCCACCAGGTCCCTTGTTACACAGTTCCCAACAGCCCAGGAGGAAGGGGACCCAAAGCTTCTTTCTGGTTCTGGAACGTACACAGCAAAACAAAAATCTGCAGAATAAAGCTGCCGTTGAAAAGTCGAAAGTGAACAAAAGCTTTCTGGTAAAGAGTGGTCAAAAAGGTCTAGGGAAATAGGATTTAGGCTTTGAGACTTGGTAACACGAAGTACACAGAAAAGATTCAAAGTAAAATATATTTTAGTTTATTTAGGTGCAAGAAACATAAGGCAGACAGTGGAGGGTAAAACAAGAAACTGAGCTTACCCAGCCTAACTGGACAGGGGGCAACAATTCTGCATTACCTCTCCCAAAAACAGAGTTGTAGTTGGTCAGCATGCATAGCAGTCATCTCTTAGCCCATCCAGGTGTAATAGAGATGGGACTATAAAGATTTCCCCCTTTTTTGATCATTAATATTTCTCTGGTTTTTATAGATTTATTCTTAAATAACATTTTATTAGGATGTTAGAAAGGCCTGTTATATAGAAGGCTTTCCTCTTGTAGGTCTGATATTGCTAGCAGACAACATAATAGGTACAAAGTTCATGATTCTAAGGGCAAAACCTTGCAATGTCTGGGTCAGAGAAGATTTTAGTCTTGTATCGGTAATGAATACTTTTGTTTGGGGTATGAAGAATCCTTGTCCATTATCATTTAGGTTAGGTTAAGTAAACACTTAGGCTTTACATAGATTTGACGTAGATATATGTTTCTTTACATCTGACAAATCAGAGGCTTATTATTCAAATGACCACTGTCCTTTGTAACCAATTACGCTTTTTGAATATTGTTTTCTTGATGATGTCAGTCCATGTATAAAATATCACGTATTTCCTGAATATGCTCAGAATATGTTCAAGACGAAGAAGATGAAGAAGAAAAAGAAGAAAGTTGTCAATTTTTGATGAGTTATTTGGTCCAATTGTTTTCCTGTTAACTGAAGCACATCTCCTGAATATGCTGAGAAGAAAGTAGTCAATTTAGGATGGACTATTTGGTCCAATTGTTTTTCTGTTAATTGAAATAAAATATAGATCTTCCTCCTCGTTTGACTTCATTTTTGACATGGAATCTAATATGTACAACACGTTGGTCAGCCCGCCTCTGTCCTCTGCTCTGCATCTCTTTCTCCCCTGTCTCCCTTTCTGTTCCCCTTTTATCCTCCCCTCCACCCTGTCCCTCTCTCTCACTGGCTGTCAGGCTGTCCTTCGTTGGTAGTCCCGCCTCCCAATAAGAGCTCCGATGCTCTGCCAGGTGTGGGGGTGTTCTGACCTAGATCACATCCCTGATGAATATACAGTAGAGGTGACGAATAGATTCAAGGGTCTAGATTTGATAGAGTGCCTGAAGAACTATGGATGGAGGTTCGTGACATTGTACAGGAGGCAGCAATCACCACCATCCCAAAGAAAAAGAAATGCAAGAAAGCAAAGTGGCTGTCTGATGAGGCTTTACAAATAGCAGAGGAAAGAAGGAAAGCGAAAGGCAAAGGCGAAAAGGAAAGATTTACCCAACTGAATGCAGATTTCCAGAGAACAGCAAGGAGAGATAAGGAGGCCTTCCTGAATGAACAGTGCAAAGTAATAGAAGAAAACAATAGAATGGGAAGGACTAGAGATCTCTTCAAGAAAATTGGAGAAATCAAGGGAGCGTTCCATGCAAAGATGGCCATGATAAAGGACAAAAACGGTAGGGACCTAACAGAAGCAGAAGAGATTAGGAAAAGATGGCAAGAATACACAGAAGCCTTTGCCCCGCTTCTATTGGTCAGTTTTCCACTCGAAGCCGCGCGGCTGCATTTTGACCCGCGGCTTTGCCCGATTTCCCCCACGGTTTCGTGATCCTGTTTTTTGAGGATCATGAAACCGGGGGGGAAATCAGGCGAAGCCGTGGGTCAGAATGCGGCCGCGCGGCTTCGATTGGCAAATGGACCAATAGAAGCGGGGCAAAGGGAGGCGCGACCGTGATGCAGCTCTTGTGTGAAATCCGTCTCAGAGTTATCTCTGTTTCTAGGGAGAAGATTCAGTCGTTTGTCACAATAGAAGTTTTGACTACAGGCTCAATACCAGGCCCGAACCGAGGGTTAGACAAACATTAGCAACTAAGAAAGCATTTTCTTCACAGTGGAATATAATGATTGTTTCAGAAACACCTATAATTTGCCTCATCTTTCTCTTGCATGCATTATAGTTGTTCAGCAGTGTGGCAGAACCCTGCCCTTCTATTCTCTTCAGCTCAACCCAAATGAACACAGTCAACACCAGGGGTCATTTCCTGCAGGAGCGCACAGGAGCAGAGCACCGGCAGTAAAGAGCCCAGGGGGCGGGCACATGCAACAAGCCCCGCCCCCTGCTCCCAGCAGCCCTCAGTCAGAGCAAGAAGCAGCCAGTTAAGTTGCAGAGCTCCCCCCGGTCCAAAACAGTCCAGTGGCACCTTTAAGACCAGGTTTTATTCAGGTACAAGCTCTCCCTCCTCTGCAAGGACAGATCTGCATGTCCCCCCCCCCAATAGCTAACAATCCAAAACAGTCCAGTGGCGCCTGAGCGGTGGGTGTTGCCTTCTGACACACTTCCGGTGATGTCAGGGGGTGTGGCATATGCAAATAAGTTATGCTAATGAGCTCCTGCACCTCTTTTTCTACGAAATGACCCCTGGTCAACACTACAAAGAGCCACTGGGAATACCACCACCAGCCATGGCAGGAAGGTGGAGCACAGGTTTGGTCCTCAGCAGAAGGGTATGGTGCAACTCTATCAGCTGAATGTGCAGCAAAAAACCCATTTACAACCATTAAAAGCACTTTTTTTACAACCGCTACTTCTACTTTTTTTTTTTTGAGCTGCGGTGGCTCAAGTGGTTAAGAGGTTGAATTGCAGGCTGTGGAAGGTCGGTAGTTCGGCAGTTCAAGACCCGAGTGTGCCGCATGATGGAGTGAGCTCCCGTCTCTAGTTCCAGCTCCTGCCAACCTAGCAGTTCGAAAGCAAGACATTGCAAGTATATAAATAGGTACCACTTCGGTGGGAAGGTAACAGCGTTCCGTGCGCCTTGGTGTTTAGTCATGCCGGCCACATGACCACGGAAATGTCTTCGGACAGCGCTGGCTCTTCGGCTTTGAAATGGAGATGAGCACCGCAGCCCTAGAGTCAGATTCGACTGGCTTTCGAGCAAGGGAACCTTTACCTTTTTACTTCTACTTTGGGGCTGCTCCCCCCACCCAGAAGTAGATTCAGAAACTTGTGCTCATTCATGCAACTTTGGTGCCAAACTCCATAAACATTGGCTAGAATGCCGAAGTCAACTGTAATGCCATAATGGTACCCACTTTCCCATGTTCTTAAGTGACCTGACTTCCAGCAAAGATGCACCACATTCATTATGCAAGACGGTGTATCTGAGTAGCTGGCATCTCTCTGTGCCAAATGTGTGATTTCATTACCTCCATTTGCCTTTTTTCTGCAGCTTCGGCAAGTTGTCTCCTCTTCATTTCCTGTATCAAATATGGAAGAGAACAATAAGAACATTTATTTCAGATCGTTTCGTTGAAGAAAAAAAATAAGGTTGGGCACACGGACCAGTCAGTCAAATATTGTTAATTGCCTACTATTTGATCACGTCTACTAAACCCATATATGTAACCTATCACTAAATTTAGCTGCTGTACCAGAAAACTGGAGAGTAGCAAGCAGGGGTAATTTCCTGCAGGAGCGCACAGGAGCGGAGCTCCGGCAGGAAAGAGCCCAGGGGGCGGGCACATGCAACAAGCCCCGCCCCCTGCTCCCAGCAGCCCTCAGTCAGAGCAAGAAGCAGCCAGTTAAGTTGCAGAGCTCCCCCCGGTCCAAAACAGTCCAGTGGCACCTTTAAGACCAGGTTTTATTCAGGTACAAGCTCTCCCTCCTCTGCAAGGACAGATCTGCATGTCCCCCCCCCCCCAATAGCATCCAAAACAGTCCAGTGGAGCCTAAGCGGTGGGTGTTGCCTTCTGACACACTTCCGGTGATGTCAGGGGGTGTGGCATATGCAAATAAGTTATGCTAATGAGCTCCTGCACCTCTTTTTCTACGAAATGACCCCTGGTAGCAAGTATTATAGTAATTTATAAGAAGGGGTCCAGAGGGGAACCAGGAAATTACAGGCCACTCAGTTTAACGTCTGCTCCAGGCAAATTAGTAGAAACTGTAATCCAAGACAGAATTATCAGGCACACGGAGGAACAAAGCCTGCTGAAGGAAAATCAGCATGGCTTCTGCAAAGGGAAGTCCTGCCTCTCTAAACTTCTGGATTTCTTTGAGAAAGTGAACAAACATGTACACAGTGGTGACCCGGTAGACATTATATTTCAAAAGGCTTTTGACAAGGTACATCACCAAAGATTCCTGAGTAAATTTAGCAGACATGGGATAAAAGGACGGGTTCTCTTATGGATTAAAAATTAGTTAAACGACAGGAATAAATGGACCGTTCTCACAACAGAGGGAAGTAAGCGGTGAGGACCCATAATGACCGATATTGGGGCTGGTACGATTTAATTTGTTCATACATGATCTGGAACTAGGAGTGAGCAGTGTCGTGCCCAAATTTGCAGATCACACAAATTATTCAGGATGGTGAATAGGATGACTATGAAGACCTCCACAAAGACCTCCACAAATTGGGTGAGTGGGCAACCATGTGCCAAATGAAGTTCAGTGTTGGTAAGTGCAAGGTGATGCACACTGGGACCCAAAAACAAAACACAAAACAACCCAGTTTCAAGTATAGGCTAACAGGGTCTGAACTTGCTGAAACTGAGAGGGAGAACAGTCTTGGGGGTTATAGTAGACAACTCGAAGAAAATGTCAACTTGGTGTGCTGCAGTGGTGAAAAAGGCAAACTTTATTGTTAGGGATCTTCAGGAAAGGGACTGAAAATCAAATGGCCAATATCCTACTGTCCCTGTGATCTACGGTGCGGCCTCATCTGGAAGACTGTGAACCGTTGTGGTCCCCATATCTCAAAAAAAGACGTCACAGAGCTGGAAAAAAGTACAGAAGAGGGGCAACCAAGATGATTGGGCAGTTGGGGTGCACCTTCCCTGTGAGAAAAGACTGACGAGTCTGGGACTCCAAAGTCACCATAGGTCGATTC